ATTAGGACTCTCCTAGCATTAGGCTTGCTTTCAATCTCTCAATTTGGATTTTGATAGCATTCCATTTTAAAGAAAACTAATTCCTACATTAGCCTCAGCACTGCCATGAGAGCCACAGACCTGCCAGCCCTCCAAGTGGGCAGAGCTGATACAAATTGGGAACAGTGGCAGTTCTGTGCCCTCAAGAGGTGAGCACAGTGTGGATTGCAGCCAGCCCTTGGCACCACAGGCTGAATTTCAGCACAACAAAGGCACTGCAGACACACAAGGTTGTAAAAGGCAGGAAATATTCTTTATTGCTTTGTCCAACAGCTTCCTTAAGGATAAAAAAGAAGAAAAAGAAGAGCTACTGTAAACGTGCTGCTTACACTAAGCATAGCACCATTCCTGGAGGTCCTGTACATGTTGTGGCCCAGACCTGCCCTGTGTTCTCCCACGCATCCACATTCATTAGTGCCAGTCTGGAAGTACTTTCATCAGTACTGACAATGAGTACTAATTTGGTAGGACTAATTTGGTACTAATCATGAGCTCAGTGGGTTTCAGCTGCACGAATGGGAGAAGTTACTACCCAGGTCTTAGGTCATACCTGCGCTTAGATCACACTGTGATGCTCCTTGCTGGTACTAAACTGGCAGAAGGTCTTCTGGAAAGCTCAGTCTGACTAAGGAGAATTCTTTCTATCTCCCATCTAGCTAATTTCATAATGCATGGGGTAAGATTTCAGCTGTTTAGGCAGCAAATAAACTTACTGCATAAAAAATACCTCCACAAAATACGTAAGCCCTAGAGAGCATCTTTAGATGGGCTTAGAACTGTACAACACATCTCACTGCTTGAGAAGTGATGTGAAATACACTATGTACAAGAAAACTGGAGTAAAGGAATTGTAATGCACTGTAACACTATAGCTATCTTTTTAAAAAAATGATCTTGGGCATCATCTGTAATATCCCGAAACTTAGCCTTCAACAATTACCATTGAGAAGGACAATAATTCACTACATGCATCAGAGCATAACAAGTTCGCAAGAAAAAATTCATTTAGGAAAACTCCTTCTATAAAAAATGACTGCAGGAATTCACACATATGCCCTTGAGATGTGTCAGGAAATTTAATGCAGAATTTAGTGCTCTGAGACAGCTTCCTCAGATACAGCAGAGATAAATCACAGCTTTGCTAAGCCCTGCCAGCAAACTCCTTTCCTAAAGCATGTCTTGGTCTCCAGAAAGTGAGGGAAAGAGAAGCACACAGAGCCACCTGGGTGTTTGCTGAAGGGTCAGGCCCTTAGCCAGATCTTGTGTGAGTACATGCACAGTCCATGAAGAGGATCTAGCCTTTGAATGCAGTACAATCAGGATTCCACCTTGTAGCTCTATGAGTTTCTTTCTGTTTACCTAAAACTTGAGAAAAGTGCTATTAGCAGTGCTGTTTTTGTGATGGCCATAGGAATAGGTCAGCTCAAGGCAGTGTCCTCCTACGACCTATTTCCTATCATGCAAAAAGCTTGTGATGAGAGTTAACCTTTAGGATTTGGAAGATGGCCGTGGTATTTCTGAACATTCACCTAGTCATCAGCATAGTTGTGGCAGACAGCTCCACTCAAACGGTCCTGGGCTGTACAGCTGATCTCATTCTATCTGCACACCCTCTAGCCCAGAAATCAGCTGTTCAGTGAAAAATCTGGTAAATACATCACGAGAGCTGATGTGTGGCTCAGTAACAACTTTGACTCACTGCACTTTGGCTGTGTTTCTTTCCTCGTTTTTGCTGAGCTGCGTTTTCACCCCATGGCTGCTGACAGAGGAGACAGACTCACACAAAGGCATTCCTATCTTTTGTTGTTTCCTCCATGCTGAGTGCCCAGCCCAGCCTCCTACACCTGGGCTCTCAGAAAAGGTACAGACTAGTACAGAGTGTCCCTCTTGTTTAAAGAGGCATCATTGGATATTAGCCCTCCACCTCCACACAGCAAATCCCAGTGGTTGAAGGGGATATGTGAGGGCAGGCTGAGTTACTATTGCTCCATTCTCTGTTCTTCAGTAGAGACAGAATCAATCTCTACCTTTTTGCTGTTGCAACATATCAAAAGACGCTGAGAAACGCTGATCTAAACCACTCAAACTGGATTTTACCGTAAGCAAACAATGGGAAATCAAACATCATCCATCCCTGTGCTGCAGGAGGCCCTTGGAGCAGAGGGCACCTGGCATCGTTTCCGTTCACTCCTTTTGATGGATCAAGTGGCATTAACAAGCACCTTAGCTTGACTGCCAGCCATAGCCATCAAGTTTCCATCTCACTCCGAGGCAGTGGAGTGGGCTCTGCATTTTGTCCACGCAGAATTTACAGCAAACAGCTGCTGGGCTCCAGTGTTGTTGACTGGAGAGCATTATGCTTGTCACTCCAGATGTTTCTAATTGCTAGTTACAAATTTGTGTTACAGAATGTTCTCTTCTTTGGGCATTGTGGGTCACTTGACAGGGCAGATGAATGGTGTCATCAGATTTCCTTTCTTCTAGATGAGGGATGTGCTGCTGCTGCCATTAGCATGCAAGTATTGGGCAAGGTCCCTTCACGTAGGCATGCTGATCTACATTTCACAATGGATAGCATCAGCACTTCTAATTGTGCTCTATTTTTGATCACATGGACAGTGAAATGTTGAGACTGAAACCTGAGAATTCACCTTGATTCGGAGCCATTTTCAGAATGTAAGTTCAGATCTCTCATGTGGAAAAAAGGGAAAAGAAAAGCTCTCATACATTGTGTTGCCTACTCTATCATGTAGTAGTTAATAATTAAAAACATACTGCAATTGCTTTTGTGAGTTTGTAACACAGAGATAAAGAATTGCTTCAAGTTGGAATTTGACATACAATAGTGGTTGCTGTATTTCAGTTATTTGTTGGTGAAGCTTTATTTCTTTTTTCAATTTTAATGATACAAAGAAATAATTAACGTCATATGTTTCCTCTGCACTTGCACGATTCTGAAGTGCCTTTACTTAAAATAAAATAAAATTTCATGCTGTTTTCTAGAGCACCTCTTCAAAACCCATCTTACATAGCATTGTTATGCATCAGAGTCCATAATCCTTCATAAACAGCACTGTGCAACCGACTGCCCTGGGAATTGCTGCTGCTGGTGTGACATATTGGATCCCTACAGACCTGGAAATGCAGTCTGATCCACCATGAACTCCAGGGGTTTTATGACCTATAATTTTATCCTCAGGTAGCTTTATTTTATTTATACCTCTGGATGTACAGAGAACACTGGAAGGCATCTAGCCCTCAATACAGCCATGAGCATCATGTGGCTCACTTCTAAGCAGCGATGAGTTGCCATGGGTAGCACCTGGGGTCCCAGCTGTGGCAGAGGCATGGCATGACCCCTGAGGACCACACAGAGGGTTCTGTTGGGTCAGCTGGGGGCCCCAGTGGGCATAGGCAGGGCCACAGCTCTGGCTCAGCAGTCCCCAGACCCATGTAGTCCCACAGCCCCAGTGTCCCTTGCACTCCCAGGCCGGCTGCACTGATACATGTGTTGGTGCCACGGTCACTGCCCTGCAGCAACGGCCGGCTCCTTCCCACTCCTGTAGCTCCAGTCCTTGGGCTAGGGCAACCAGGAATCTTTCTTGCAGTTAGTGCGGCCATGGAAGCCTCAGCTTCCAAATATCTGCCCACTCTGTGGCTGGATCTTCCAAAAAGCCTCATCTCTTGTATCCAGAGCATAGAAATCATCCTGTGGCTTATGGCAAGCCCATCCTCACTTGGCAGTAGCTGTGAGACACAAGACAGGGTGGAGGATATAACAGCTTGGCACATCGGACACTTTTACCCGCAGCCAAGCATTGCTTTTGACCTTTTCATGTTTACATACAATTTCCAGCTTCTTTAATGCAAACCAGTACTGCTTGGTCTTAAGGAGCTGCCTGTGCTTAGTCTGCTATTTCCTCATATTGCTGCCAGCACATCTTCCTGCCGAAGAAGCTGTAGGTGCAAGCATGGTTGTTGCAGATGTTGACCACAGAAACAGCTGCTTCCCAGTCAGCCAGATGTGGCTTTCTGCAGTGTATCTCTGACTGTGAAACTCATAGCACAGTGCTTAGGTGGTAAGGAAGAGTCCTGGGGTACTATGCAACTTGCATTGAATGGTATATGGTAGCTAGGAAAGGCCAAGGGGAGTTATTTTGAACAGGACATACACACCAGGAATAGGATTTTAGTTCTTTCTAGTCTACAATTTTGCTCATTTCTTGAGCAAAAAACAACTAATTTCTTTTCAGAATAAGACCGAATGAGAGCTAATGTATGTACAGTTTAGACAACCAGACAACCTGAAACCCTGCATGAGTTGGAAATGCCCCAGTATGACATTATAATGATCTGCTCAGATGTTCTGTGCCACATCATGATTTCATCTAGTACTTCCATCCTTAATCTTGCAGCTTCTTCCAGAGATAAATTATATCCCATTAAGAATTACATGTTAATGCTTTAAAATATCCAGTTGGAGAGAATCTGCAACTAGAAAATGCTGGTTATCTCTCCTTTTAGGCTGAATTTGTAGATTTCAGCTTCTCGCCCATTTCCTATTAGCTTAAAGTCTTTCACAGCCAACATAGGTGTATTTCTATACAAGTATTTGTTGTCTCTTCCCTTTACTGGAATTAAACTGCCTTGATTTCTCTTTGGAGGAAGTTGTCCAGACCTTAAATAATTATTATAGACTTTTTCTGACCCCTTTTACATTTACCAATATTCTTTTAACAAATGGAAATGAGAAGAGAGAAGCCAGTACTCCAATGATGTCCTTAGCACTGTTGCTCTCAGAGGAAATAATGTTGTTTATACCAGACACCGTGGTTTTGGTGGGGATTTTTTGGCTGCTACATCATATTGGGAGTTCATGTGCTCTTAATTAACTCATCAGGCTTTCACAATCATTTTCTAAATCATTCTTTTCCAAACACCAATCCATAGCTTTGACCTACATTTTTGTTTCCTACATGTACAACCTCGCCATGAGCTTTCTTACAGCGCCTGCTTTTCAGCTGAGCCTTATTTTCTGCGCTCACCACATCACTCGTGGGAGCTGACCTTATTAACTGTGATTCCAGCACCTTGTGGGTCACCTGCAGACTGTTATGGTTAATTGAGATGTTGAGTGACCTCATTCTGGCACATCTTGCTGCTCACGCTGGAATTTAGCTTACATCATGACAAGATGTCTCCTGGGAGTTCCGGCCTCCTGGAGCACATGAGAGGGTGCTCACAGAACGAGGGCTTCACGTGAGGCCTTGAGACTGCTCTCCATGTGCAGCATGGGTGTTTTCTCTCCTTTGGAGCTGTTTGGAAATCTGCTAATTAAAGTATTATTTGTGAATAGCACTTACTATGCAGGAATGTTGCGAAGATTTAATTAATTAGCTTTCTGAAAGTTGGGAAAATGAAAAGTGCTAGAGAAGTGTTCCTAAGTATTATCGAGTACTGCGCAACAATTCACAGCCTTTTTTTCCCCTTCTGTTTATTTGCAGTTCTTTCTTCCTATTGCTCATTTTGCACAATTCAATGAACAGTAATAGTCCAGCATATCAGTTGCCATATTATTTTCCCTGGAAATGTGTGAAGTAATTTCTAAAGCAATGACTGTTTTGCAATTGCATAAATGTAGGTATATAAACACATTTACAAAAGTGTGTGTATGTATATATGTACCCACATATGTATGCATTTCAAGCAGGTGTATGTGTGCATGTATGTGTGTGCATATGGGGGCAATACAATAAAGGGAAGATGTAGCACTTCTGCACAGATTATACTGTGATGATACCTTCCCCCAGGAGTAATATGCAGGTCCCTTTAGGACCACTATTCCTGGGTTCCTGACAGTACCTTACTAGCAATGATTTACAGCAAATATGAGATTCTATAGCAAATTACACACATTAAATCTCCCACTATCACCTCTACTAAAGGTGCTCCTGGATGCACCCCACTTTATTTAAAGAAATGATGGGGATGTTCAGGTACTCATGGCTCTGTAACAACACCGGGACAAGAAGAAAATATTAAAAACAAACAAACAAACAAAAAAGAAACTAGAAAGAAAATAGGAAGTTTTTTTGTTAGTATTATTTCCTTCATCCCACTGTCACACAAATGTTGTCTTTTCACAGCACAGTGTTTGTGTGGCAAATGTAAATACTGGAAAAGCAACAAGAAAGGAAAGCCTGAAATACTGAGTTCCAATTTGCAGTTATATCTCATGGGCTTTTGTTAATTGATTAGCCAAGATAAAATTCTGTAGGAGCATTCATGTTGAAATGAATCAATGAAAGATTTAAAAAAAAAAAAAAAAAGGAATTTGTAGAACAAGGAGTGACACAACCAGCCAGCATTTTTAGGTTTCCTTCAGTAAGAATGCCAGTCAGCATTCATGTGATTGACAAGGACAGTGCTGGTGTGGGAGAAATATGGATCCGTGCAGCCAGGAATGAAAGATGTGAAAAGAAAGGGCTTGCGAGGGGTGGGGAGGCCGGCAGCTGAAGGGCTGTGGGAGGAGGAGGTCATGAGCAGAATGTGAAGAAAATGCAAAATTCAAATTGTGGAATGTGGGCACCTTTGGTGGACTTGTATTCTGAGGAGGGGAAAGTCCTGTCATCCGAGGAGCTCTCTACTCCGTGTCAGGAGACTTTTCTCTTGCCTCAATGACAGCACGAATATGGAACTACAGAAATACCTCTGGCTAGCCAAAAAGCAGGCTGCAAATGGCCTTTCTGTGTTCTTGGTTCTGACAGCAAAACCTGGTGGTCTGACACGGTGGGATGACGTGACGCCCTGCCTGCACAGTCACGACCAGTGGTGCTGGCAGAAGCCTGATGGCCTTTTGGTAGGATCTGCACTAGTGAACGCAGCTGATTGTGCAGTACTTGCCTAACCAGCAATTGCCACCCAGACATGTTACAAGCACATCAGGTCCTGGGGCCACCCAAAAAAGATAGATCTATCCAAGATAGGTCTACCCAGAGTGGTTTGGCCAGGCTGTAACAATACCAATAGCTCAAAATTTGACAAGAGCATTGCCGCTGTACCTTACCCCTCAGCTGAAGACCCTGCAGAATGCCATGAAGATGCTTTTGCATTGGAACAAGAGCTGCACGGCCCTGCTTTTGGCAGTGAGAGAATGCTGTGACTCGAAGGCACCACCTGCTGCCTGCCAGTGCAGCAGCACAGCTTGCAAGATCTCCAAATGCCTGCTTGTAGCTGCTGTACTGTACATCAGTGTGTTTAACAACACCAGTGGGATATTTTATTTCTCAAAACGTCATTACTGACACCTTTTAACTATATGCTGACAAAGGTTTTATATTATTAGATTTGATGTTATTATGAAATCTCAAACCTGCTGTCTTCAGTCCATCAGTGTGAGGATGAAGGCACTGCTTCTTAAAAGGACATCAATTCAGTTTCCAATTTTATGTCAAGAACACATCCGTAGATATAGTTTATGTCATAGATGATTGCAAGGGTATTTAGGTGTCAAACTGCTCAGCCTCTGGCCAAAACAAAATAGGCATCTAAGTACAATAAAATGTACCTGCAATTACATGTGCCAGCAGAATTACACCTGCAGATGTTCTCAAGTAATCTGAGAACACCAGAAATCACATGGGATTTTTTTCCCTAGTCTGATTCCTCCCCTTTAGGGAAGGCTTGCAGCAGTGATTGCCTTTTGTGAGCGCAGTGTAATCCTCAGTCCCGCAGAATGCCACACCATGGGCTGCTCTGTCAAAAGCCTCTGATCGCAGGCGGTGCCAGCATGGTCCTGCCAACGCCTCACTTTCCGTGGAGCAGCAGAGAGTCCTGGATGAGTAAGTGACCAGGATTTGAAGTCATTTAAAATTAGGGTGATCAGTCTATATTAAAAATTGAGCTGGTGGGGCAGCTCTCCTTTTATACCTAAGAGATAGTCCACCATGCCCCTCAGGTGTCAGAGAGCTGCCCAGGGCGTGCTGGTTATGACTCCTGCTGAGAACCATAGCCATGGGTGTCATTTTGTGCAGCCCAGAGCTCAGACAGGACTGATGGCACTGTTTGTGCAGAGGAATTCTCTGCTCCTTAAAGCATTATGAAGCTCTGCCAGTCCTGAGGCTGAGCCTCCATATTCAGGAAGATTAGCAACACAACTCTTTCTTAATCGTAATAATCACCAGATTTTGGATTGGTCCTGGGGTATTTCAGTAATATCAGGAATGCACAGACATTCAGTGTTAGTAACTGATCTGCTGAGGCTCTGTTTACTGCAGTTTGGCTGTTCACTTCTGAGGGGAGCATGGATAAGACATTTTAGAAGTTTCCTTGGGGTTCTTCAAGGCTTTTTGAGGATTGTCCCAGCCCATATTATGGTCAAACATGTGCACAGGATCGAGGACAGGAAAAGGCAGCCCTTCACAAGCCCTCCCCTACCTGTGCAGGTGTGCCTGATGCTGGTGGCACAGATGTAGCCCCTGCTTCTCCAATGCTGATGGTGAGGGCCTCCTTCCACAAAGCTTGCCCATCTCCATTTCAGTTAAGCTGTCTCTTCCTCAAACAGCTGTAAAGAGGAAGAGCTGGGAAAGACAACACAGCGCGTCTTTGTTATACTTCCTTCAACAACTTGAAAGTTTTCCCAGGATTACAGGGTGGCTACACCTATTAACATGCATGTATCACATTCCTGAGTGTGTTCCTAAGCATGTCAGAGCCATGTAACCAAGGCAGATCAGAAGGCATTACTCATCTGCTGCAGTGCTGCAGCTCTCCAAAGCTCTTTGATCTATTGCTGTGCATGCCCCTTGCAGCGGCAATTTAGTAAGAGTCTGATACTTACTAATTCAATTTTGGAGTTCCTCCTTATCTGCCTTTTGTGTGTTGATACTAATTGGCACCATTTCAAAATGAAATTGTATACTCAGTATTTCAGATTCTGCAGATATGTGCAAGTACTACTGGCTGTTGATAGCTTTATTTTTTGTGCTTAATTAATGCAGTGCAGCTGACATTTCAGAAGGTGACGTTCTCTGACCAAGACCTGAGGATTGGCTAGAGATGAAGTGACAGTTTCCATAATTGCCATCTACCAGTGTCCCTTGGACCATACTCTTTGCGTACAAGTTACAGAGATAGAGGGTAGGGGAGGTTGCCAGGTCTTTTCAGGCCTGTCTCTCTTCACTGTGATGGCCAGAATAGGACTGACGATTTTTCTGACAACTGATATGATGCAGCTTTTAAAATCCTTCAGGATCTAAGGAATTACAGAGATTGCAACAGTGGGTTCACAGGACTCTGTAACACAAAGGCTTTATTTCCTAAGTTTTTCTACTTTATTAAAGGTTACTACAAATCGCCACTCCCAAGTATACCTATGGTTGACAAAGCAAGTATGCAAGTTACTTGGAAAGCAATTACACCTACGTAATCAAGAGTGATAAAAATCAATAGTATTACTAGCAGAAATCATCATCGTCATCATCAATAACAATACAGCAGCAATTTGCAGGTTCCTGGTTGGGTTAATTTTCTTCATGAAGGCTGGTATGGTGCTCAGTACTGATTCGTGATGAAAATGTTGTTGACAGTTGTTGCCAAGCAGTGCTTACATCCTCAAGGACTTTTTTGGTTCTTGTGCTGTCCTGCCCCTGAGGAGCTGGGTCTGTGCAAGGAGATAGGAGGGGACAGAACCAGGCCAGCCCCAGAAGTAACCAAAGCCATATCCCATACCATGACACACTGTGATCACCAATAAAAGCTGGGGGGAAAGAAGGACGGGGAGAACCACTCCAAGTTATGGTGTTAGTCTTCCCAAGTAATCATTACATGTGTTGGATCTCACTTTCCTGGAAATGGCTGAACATTTCCTCACAGATGGGAAGTGGTCAGTGTCTTCCTTGTTTTGATTTGCTTGTGGTTCCAGCTTTTATTTTACCCATTAAACTGTCTTTACCCCAACACAAGAGTTTTCTCACTTTTATCTTTCTGATTCTACATAGGATGCTCAGCTGCCTAACAAGGTTACACCTCAACAAGCAATTTTTTTCTCAGTATCTTTATGTATCTCTCTCTGTATAATAATATTACAGGTTACAACAAACCCATCACTTAGGAAGTAGAAAATATATTTATGATTGATTACCCA